TAATGTGGTTTGATCCTGACACACTGCATGCATATATCAAATGATCAGCACTGTACGCTATAAATTTGTAAAATTATTATATGTAAACTTAATAAAAGCAAAAAATTATTGATCAAAATAACGTTATTACAACCTTTACTTATGAGTATACATTTATATATAGGGAAAGTGATCAGAATCGTGCATGCTAAAGGGTAGGCTAGATAACCAGGTCCCTAGGGTTCAGTTAGCAGTATCATTCTACCTAAGAAAATTATACTAACTAACCTTAATGTGGAAAACCTTAAGACTTAGGATTTTTTTTGACAGAAGGCTCCTAAAAGTAAAAATTTAAAGCTGCAGAAACTGCTCTGGTAAATCTGATTTCAGCCCTCTCCATCTCTCTACCTCCTGGTACCCTTATCCCACTTCTATTCAGAGAACAGAAGGTACAAAAGGCTCATGTGGTTTAGCTTGTCAGATTCAGCTTTTTATTTGGTTGCTCCGAATCCTACGTTCCTATTTGGAGCACCCCTCCCCTCACCCATCCTTCAGAAACCAATCAAGGTGTCTCCTGACCTCATTTATTCCCTTTGTTTCAACTGCCTTCTGGAGTAACTTTTTCCATATGCTTATAACCTTGCCTCACAACAGAGCCCCCCCCCCCATCAAAAAATGGTCTGATTGGAATCTTAGGAAAACCCATTTACTCAGATGTGTGACAGGCTGCTTCTAAAGATGCCAAACCACTTTTCATTACTTTTGATGACCAGGGCAAAGATGGGTGGAGGAAAAATTTCTGTGTTTAAAAATAATTCAGTGCTGGGCAGTGGTGCTGAGTGTTGGGGAGTGAGAGCACTTGATGCCATTAGCAAGTGGAGCAGCCCAGTCTAGACCCAGAACTGTAGCCTATGATTGCAGTTTCAATTGCGATTTTCCTTTAACGTGGCATTTATTTTGTCACCCCAGTTTGGCCTCATTCCTTTCAACATGGTGACATTAGTACTCTTTATTTTGCCTGTTGTGGACCAATTTTCTTCAGCTGTTGCTAAAACTTACTAAAATGCCAGATGTCATGTTGGAAACATGAAACCTGAAAGAAGATCATAAATCAGAAAAACAAACCATAAAAAAAATAATAAAATTTCCTGAGTGCTGTGCTCTGGAGCTTCCCAGCCTCAAGCCTCCCTTTGTTCGCCTAGCTCCCAAGCTCACAATGTCTCCCAACCCCCTTCTTTTAGGGCCAGGCATGGGGGGGGCAACTCAGCAGTTTCTCACCTCAGCTTTGATTGTTTGTTTTGCAGATTCAGAGCAGAGCACAGGGTCCGACTCTGAGGTGCTCACTGAGCGGACCTCCTGCTCCTTCAGCACCCTCACTGACCTGGCCTCTGGTGCTGCAGGTCCTGGGCCTGCTGCCATGTCCTCCATGGAGGAGATTCAGGTGGAGCTGCAGTGCGCTGACCTCTGGAAGAGGTTCCATGATATTGGAACAGAGATGATCATCACCAAAGCAGGCAGGTAAGGATGTTTCTTAGAATGGATTCAGAGACTCTACAGAAATGGGCACCATTACCCCATGCCACTTACCTGTGATACCATCCGTGACTGAAGCACCCTGCTCTTATTTTTCTCCATTTGGACTCACTAATGTGTCTTCCTGTGTTTGCTGTGATTTTGCTATTTTCCTCTAGCACTCAAATCTAGACTCACCTCTACAATTCATCAACATTTTCCATCTCCAAACATACTTCTTCATCTAGTTCTTGATACTTAATGACCAAAAGAAAGATTCAAAGCAAGTATTTACACATTCACTCAATATTTCCAAGAAACATTCCCACCCCAAACAACAGCTTACATCTTCTAAGACTTTAAAGCAACCACACGCTTTTGTAAGAATTGGGCTTGGCAAACTCTTTGAGCCCTGTTTATTGAGCCATTGTTTTTGTTGTTTGTTTTTAAGGTTGTAAAACCTTCATGATGATTGGTGGACTTTCTTGTGAAACTAGTTATCCAACATAATAAAAGTTTAAAAAACCATAGTTTCCATTGAAATAAACTTTTACTTAAACCATTGCTTACTTTATTGGTATCTTTCACTTCCTCATAGCTAGGTATCTGTTCTGTGCTAAGCACTAAGTAGATATTTTGGCACTTAAACTTCACAGGGCTCCTACAAAGTAGAATATGACTATCCCATATGGATGTAAAGACTGAAAGAGACTAATTAACATAACTAAAGTAAGAGGTATTGAGATGTAGCTCCAGAAATCATAATCTGGCTGGCTCTAAGATTATAGTTATAACTATTTATTAATCCGTATGATTAACGTTTGCAGTTCTTGCTTCTTCAACTCAAAATGAAATAAAGCTAAATTGGATTAAACTTTTGAGTATAAAAGACTAGCTAGAGGGGCTGGAGAGATGGCTCAGTGGTTAAGAGCACTGACTGCTCTTGCAGAGAACCTGGGTTCGATTCCCAGCACCCACATAGTGGCTATGAACCATCCTTAACTCCAGTTCCAGGGGAATCCGAAGCCCTCTTCTGACCTCCACATCATTGTATGACAGGGGTGCACTTACATACATGCAGACAATACACTCATACACAAAAAAATAATAATTTTTTTAAAAAAAGACTAGCTAGGGCTGGAGAGATGGTTCACTGGCTGCTCTTGTAAAGGGCCTGGGTTCTATACCCAGCACCTACATGGCAAGTAACAAACTGTCTATTAACTCCAGTTCCAGGGGGTCCGACCCCCTCTTCTGACCTCTGCAGGCATTGTACAGCATGAGTGCACTTACATACATACAAGGAATATACTCATACACATAAAACAAAAAATAATAATAAAATATTAAAAAAAGAATAGCTAAGGAAATTGTGCAAAACAAATAACATAGGTCATGGGAATGAAAAAGCTCCACCTCACAGCTTGCAAGCTGTTTTCATGGACTCTCTCATTGGGTTTTGCTCATCCACATAGATATAGAGAGACCTCTAAACATAATAAGACATTACAAAAACATGGGTTAAAGTGAACCCCAAATCATATTCATTTTGTTTCTTCCCTGGTGCCCTCCTCCTCTCGCAAGTTTTAGTAGTGATGAAAAGGCTTATTAGGTAGAGCAACTTTGAAGGAGAATTTACTTCAGTGCCGTCTTTTTCTTATTATTTGAATTGTAGTGTCTCCTATCTTTTTTTTTTTTTTTTGTGATGTCGAGGCTTGGAGGAAGACAAAGCAATTCAAGGAAAATGTGTGTGTGTGTGGGGGGTGGAGAGGTTGAATGGAGAGAGGTGAAATATTAAAACAGCTTTTTGTTGACACTGTCTTTTGTTTTGAACTTTCTTATTGTTGTTGGGTCTGTGCATCTCAGTCAGTCTTGCTAGTGATATAACCCCCCCCTCTGCACTTTGGTAACCCCAGTTCATTCAGGCTGCCCCTGACAACTCTCAGTGACTTATTCCAGGATTTCTTTTGCACCTCTCTGTTTTTACAAAGTCTTCTTGATACCTGAAGATACCAACATATTCCCAACCACAGTCCCTTTTTTAGTCATACTGAAGGTCCATTTTTCTTGATTATGTTAGGTAGGTAGGAGTCTGTGTCCTTTTACTACTCAGAAAATCCTAGTTGCCGGTTATGTCTTCCCACACTCCAAGCTGTTCCTGTTGATTCTGATTTATTTTTCACTTTAATTAATTAATTTTAAAATTATGTACTTATGTATAAGAGTGTTTTGCCTGCATTTACGTAAGCGCACATCGTGCCCGCAGAGGACAGAAGAGGGCGTCAGATTCCCTGGAACTGGAGTTACAGAAGGTTGCTAGCCAACTTGTGGGTGCTGGGAACTGAACCCGGGTCCTCTGTAAGAGCAGCCAGTGCTCTTAACCGCCAAGTCACGTCTCTGGCAACTCCTGTTGATTCTGAATCGTCACAGTGTACAGAGCCCTAAATTTTGGAATGCACCAACACAATCTGAGTAATCAGCACCATGGACAGAGGTTCTATGGGGCTTAATGGCTTTAGAACACAAAGGAATTGGCCTAAATTTAACTATATAATTAAAACCAAACACCGCTAACTTTATGGAATTTGAAAGATAGTTTCTTTTTTAGAGTGTTATGACTTCTGTTGATATAATATACCAAAATGCTGATGGAAAGAAAGGGTAGTTTTTGGAAAGTTTTAAGGAGAATTCAGACTTAGAATCTTAAAACACAGTTTAGAGATGATTTCGTGTCCTGACTTTTTTGTATAGATGGTAGGGGTAAAGAATGTATCCAAAAATAATTTTGGAAGTTGAGTGCTTAAGGCCATATAACTATTCCAGAAAAAAAACATTAAATTTAAACTTGCCAAATGCCTTTTATTGAAGTTACTAAGTTAAAAATAAATCTGTTTCTTTTAATGTAACACTGTCTGCATCTGGCTAAGAGGAACTACATCTCCTTGTCTCCAATAGCAAATAAGAGGGCTTTCCCTTTATCCCTTGTCAGATGTCATCTAATAATTTAAACAGAGAGGACAACTGTAATTCATTGCTGTTAAGAAGGCAATTACTGATCTGTATTTAAATGTATAGACCTATGTCCTGAAATGTTTGGAAGAATTAATGGAAATCATAATGTGTAACTCATAATGAATTCTAGATTCAGTCAGTAAGTGTAGACACCCATCACATTTTATTAGACTAAAATTTTAGGACTTCCAATTAAAGTTGTGAGGATAGGGGGAGAAAATGTAGTAACATGCCAAAAGAAGATTCTATGAAATAATAAAATGGGAAAGAAAGAATAGTTATGCATTTGCTACAACTATTTCAGAAAAACATCATGCTTATTAAAGGTCTATTGTCTCTCACATGTGATTATGATGTCACTGACTTACTGCCAGAAAGACATTTACTTTATGGGCTGCTTTTTTCCTGGATAAGGAGGGGATGCACAGCTTGTAGAGTAAGACTTGCACACATTTGCAAGATGGCTGTCTGAGGTCAGGGCATGGTCTATGGCCATGAAATGGAGCAAAGCCAATTAGGCCATATGTGGATCAAGCTTGTGACCTTGACCTCATTAGCACCGTGCTCTGCCCAACTCAACTAACTAGCCCCAGATGGTTAAACTTAACGTAGCATTTTGTATACAAGTACCCTAGAGCAAATTCAGGGCAGTATGAATTTTTGAACTGAGAACTTTTTATGTCTGATTTGGTGCACAAGAGCTTGGTGTTTTTTCTTCTTTCTCTGGTTAAAGAAGAATGGTGAATTTTATTCTAGACTTGCTGAAATCCAATACCTCTCCTCTTCTCTTCAATTATGAGAGAAGTTGTAAAGTGCCACATCCTGACCTCACTTGCTTTGGCAAGTTTAACAAGCCATTGTGGGAGAAACGAGGTATTGCCCAGAGGCCACTAGAATTCATTTGGTATTTGCTCCCTGTTCCACAGGGTCCTTCCTCTGACACACACGTTGACAGCCTGAGAAATTGCAGAAATTTTTGTACAGTTTTATGCATTGAAAAAGTTTTGGGGGCTGTTGACTTGAAGATTAGGAGCACCTTCAGTTTTTTATTTTTCTTAAGAAATTATTTTTCAGAGTGATTATTTTCAATTAAACTCAAATTATTTTATATGTGCTACTGAAAGATTAATTAAAAGTATGAAATGGGGTAATTGCATGAATCATGAATCAGGTCAATTTAAGCTTAGAAGGGATGCTATTTCAATAATGTAAGTCCTCACCGTACTTTGTAGTCATCATTTACAGAGAAATAAACATCAGTCAAATTTGGGAATTAAAGGGCAGTGATTGTGAAATGTTTAAGAGTACCCAATACTTCTGCTCCTGTTTCTCTTCAAGTTTATAACCTTATTCTTCTTCACAGGAGGATGTTTCCAGCCATGAGAGTGAAAATCACTGGCCTGGATCCACACCAGCAATACTACATAGCGATGGACATTGTGCCTGTGGACAATAAAAGATACAGGTAAGAAGGACCCTGGAATCTGGAATTGTGAGCACCCTCAGCATTCCAAGACAGTTCTTTAAACTCATTAGAGGAAAGGGGCAGAAGATTTGCTAGTGTTCTATGGCAGAATACCTCAAAGGAAGCAATAGCTAAGTGTAGGAATTTAGGGCTTAGTAGGTCTGGTCTCAAACCCTCCCCATGTCTCTGGACAGAGGATTGCAGTGTCCTCCACATCAGCAAAAATTAAATGGATCTTTAATCTGAAATTAATTGAGCTAATGTTAAAAGTAACAGATTGAATGACTTGGTTTGTAAAATGATAAATGAATTGGAATATATTATTTTTGGGATGGACCACTGCAGTAAGTCTATCTATCTATCATCTATCTATCTATCTATCTATCTATCTATCTATCTATCTATCTATCTATTATCTGTCTGTCTGTCTATCTATCTATCACCTATCTATTCAATCATACATCTGATATAACTCTTGAAAACATGGAGAAGAAAACCAGGAAAATTAGAAAAAACATAAGATGAACATCTCATTAGGGAGAATTACTGTCCTAATATAGGTGTGAATGAGCTTGCTAAATAATTTTATCTCAGATTCACTTAAAGGCAGTATATTCTCCAAGTCTTTAGAATGGCTTTTCTGTTGTTATTATAACAAAACGTTGTGTTACATTGCTACTATAATAAAATGTTGTGGCTTGGTTGATCTCTTTGGGATCTCAGTCAAATCAGTGGCACAGATTTGAATTGTCTAAAGTGTGAGAATTTGACTCTAAGCCTGTGAATTTGAAAGTGAGAGATGAATGGAGAGGCCAGAACTCCAATATTATGAGGAAAAAGCTGGCCAAGAGAAGCACCGCCCAGAGTATAGGACTTAGGAGAGAAGGTGTTGAGTATAGGACTTAGGAGAGAAGGTGTTGAGTATAGGACTTAGGAGAGAAGGTGTTTCCAGTCAGTTGTAGAGGATCCTGGGAGTTGTAATTGATGTTGTGTGTCCTGTTTCCCAGGGTTCAGGGCCTATGTAGTCTATTAGACCTGAGACCTAGGAAAGTAAGCTGTAGAAAACTTTATTCGTTCTGGGAAAATGATGACTTTCCAAACCAAGTTCATTAAACACTAGGAATATTTGACTACGAGTCTGAGAGTGGTTGCACTAAGACAAGAAGTCCTCCATTCTCATAGAAATGACCCTGAATTCAGACTGTTAAGCAAGGAAATGGTTAATGAGTGAGAAGCTTGGAGGGTCTCTGCACATGGCTGCTTTTTTATAGGACAATATGGAAGATGTTTTTAATAAGGAACAAAATCCTGAACAAGTGACCAAGGGATTATATGGTTTGCATTTGAAAGGTGAAAGGTTGCAGTAAAATACCTTTTTCTTAGCTAGACACATGGGCTCAGGATGCCTGTGTGCACACAGGGGTTCATGGCAAAGAGAGAGAAGAAAGAAAAAGGATTGTGAGAATGTTTTCCTCATGAGGGCTGTGGCTTTGATCATTGGCCATGCACCTCTCTGCCCTCCCCCATCCCACCCCACTGTCCATTTCCATGTCAATGTCGTTTCCCGTTTATCTGTTTTTCTCATCTGTATTCTCCATGTCATTCCCATTACTTTCCCACTCTCGTAATCTCTTCCTCTTTGCCCATTTCTGTCTGTACTTGTTTCCTGGGCCTCCATCCCTCCCTGAAAATGCCTCTAAATTCTCTTCTTTCTCCTTGTGTCTCAGATATGTGTATCACAGCTCCAAGTGGATGGTAGCTGGCAACGCCGACTCCCCCGTGCCTCCAAGGGTTTATATACACCCTGATTCCCTAGCTTCTGGAGATACCTGGATGAGACAGGTGGTCAGTTTTGACAAACTCAAGCTGACCAACAATGAATTGGATGATCAAGGACATGTGAGTTAAAGAATCCTGTTTCCCCCTCCCCCTTCCTCTTTTTGCTTTAGAGCTGATTAACCCCAGGCTCTTTCAAATAGGTAAAATAAGAATCTGTATGCCACTTTACATCATTTTAAGTAAGTAAGCATAAAGTTGTTTTCCTCCACTTAAATTTCATTAATTACAAATCTAACATTTAGCACACATCTGCTGTGTATCAGCTTGTGTTTATCAGACAAAGCCCTTTTTGCTCCAGGGACTCACAGGCCAAAGAGGTAAAACAGAAACATAAGACAGATTAAACAATGGTAAAAGAAATCACAACATTCAGTAGAATAACTCACAAGGCCACACCTAAGAGAAAGAAGTGAATGAGAGTTTTGGCTGATTTGTTAAGAAAACTATGAATTTATATGAGAAAAGTGAGTATTCAGACTTTGCAGGTGTAGTTGGAACAACTGATGTTATTAATGTATCTCTGGCAAGGAAATATGCACTGAATTTTCAGTCAACTTCAGTATCCACCCTGTTTGTTATGGCTCTTTTCTTCAGGAAAATGGCAATTTTTTGAGGTAGTCAGAATACCCATATCCCATTTACACTAACATGACATAAAAGAATGTTCACAAATTCAATGAATACAAATAATACTGTGCAGAATTTAAAGGCAGTGGTGGAACCATGCTGAATATTTGAAGCTTGAGGGGAAAACCTGCCACATAACAGAGGTTCTGAGACATTTCAGTGGAGGGTAATCAGCTGGTACTAGCATGGTCAGTTAGCATTTTTCCAATTAAATAGGTGAACTACACCTACCATCCATGATAAAGATTCCTATCATGTTCCCATGCAATGCTGTCCAATGGCTTAATTCTTGCCATAAGCAATTGCGTACACTGATTCCTAGGATCCTGTGCCTCCCACTCCCAACCTGTCCTCCTTCTATAATGTTTCCATGCTGTGGTTTATGTTGCCTGAGAGCTTGAAAAGATGTGGGGGTCATAAAGTCGTGTCCAACTTAGCGATTCCTCTTTCCATTTCAGATCATTCTGCACTCTATGCACAAATACCAGCCCCGAGTTCATGTGATTCGCAAGGACTTCAGCAGTGACCTTTCACCTACCAAGCCTGTCCCTGTGGGGGATGGGGTGAAAACATTCAACTTCCCTGAGACTGTGTTCACCACAGTAACGGCCTATCAGAATCAGCAGGTAAGAGGCCATCCTTGAAAGCCTGCTTCTCCACTTGCTTTTATTTTACTTATTTATTTTTTATCATTTTCTGTGTATGAGTGTATTGCCTGCAAATTTGTAAGGGCACCAATGTCATGCAATGCCTATGGAGGGTGGAAGAGGGTGTCGGATTCCCTGGAACATGACAGTTGTTAGCCACCATGTGGGTGCTGGGATTTGAACCTGGGTCTTCTATAAGTGCAATCAGTCTTAATCACTGAGCCATCTCTCCAGCCCTCTCTACTTGCTTCTAAAGAAGCTTGGTCTTGCTTTGCTAAGGAATGCTTAGTTCTCCTCAATAACACCAAAAATTGAGAATGAGAGATTCCAGTCCTCCGGTTCACATGCGACAATGGTGATGACAAATTGGTGATGCCTATTGACAGCTGGAAGGATCTATGTTTAGATATCAAGAGCATCAACCTCTTAAGTTGTCTTCATGTCCCTCTGTACCTGTACCTGTGCTCCTGATCTCTTCCACATCCTAGCAAATCTTCATCATTAGGAAATAACTCATGCTCTATATGAAGATTTCTGAGCATCCCTATACCAAGTGACCTTAGAGCCATCAAGCCTCTCAACTTACTCGAGACTCATCACTTCCACTTACATTTTTAGACTACATGTACCATCATGTGATCAACAACCACATGGGGGTCTGAAAAGTTTTGAGTCTGTCATATGTGCATTCGTTTTATAAGTATGTGTCAGAAGTTACTAGATTCTAGTCTTATGAGAAGAAGCTGTTAACGAAGCTGATTAATATAACTGCTTTCCTTATCAAGAATTTTAGTTCAGAGAGAAACATGCAAATACATAACGACAATAGAGTGGAATAATTCAACAGCAAATACAGGGATGGGGTATGTCTTGATTTGTAGAATACGAAAGTTTTCCTAGAAGTGCTGACTCTTTTTCTGAGGATGACACATACATACATAGGAACTGTCCGACAAACGTAGAAGACAGTGGACGGGAGAGGGGCAGAGGTAGCCACGTGGAGTTACTCACAACACCTTAAACATTTTTCTTCTAAAGGAGGATAGCTAGATAGATTTATAAGTGGTCTCACTTTATGGAGTTCTCTAAAAAGCACAGTGAAACCCATTTTTTAACATATTTTATATTTCACAGATTGCCTAATTAGTAGAATACTTGTGAATGAATCTGTTTCTCAAAGAGATTTTTGTTGATCTTGTTTACACATCTACATCCTTTTGTTTGAAGTCAACCAGAAAGAAAAGAACCTTGCACTTGATGTCTTGTGAATTGAACTCCCTATTTTGTGGTCAAAATAATTGAGGAAAACATTTATTTGTTAATTATCAAGCAATTTCTCCGTGTCAGCTAAGTGGTGGTGGTGAGTTACACAATCCTTGGCTCATTTGGAAAGGATAGTTCTTTTTCTTGGTGTATCTGGATATTCCTTAGACGCTCTTTACTTCCCAAGGAAGTTGAGTATTCCTTTTTCTACTTTTTTTTTGGTCTTTTTGAGACAGGGTCTCCCTGTAGCCCCAGTTGTCCTGGAACTATGTAGACCAGACTGGCCTTGAACTCACAGAGATCCACCTGCCTCTGCCTCCCGAGTGCTGGGATTAAAGGCATGTGCCACCACACCTGGCCTATGTTTTATTTATTTTTGTTTAATGTGTATGAGTGTATTGCTTGCATGTAGGTAGGTGCACCTGTGTTGTGCAATACCCATGGAAGTCAGAAGACGGTGTCAGATCCCCTGGAAATGGAATTATAGATGGTTGTTAGCTGCCATGTGGGTGCTGGGATTAGAACCCAGGTCCTCTCCAAGAGCAGTCAGTGCTCTCAACCACTCAGCCATCTCTCCAGCCTCGAGGCTAAGTATTCTTTTTTAAAAAATTATTTATTTAATAACTGCATAATTAGAAGAAGCATTTCATTACAACAGCATGGCCATATTCAATAACAATTTCCAGAGCTAAGATGCTCTTTCAAAATTGGCTGTAAACTTTTAAGTTTACAGTTGAATTAATACAGATATACAATATTGTACTCAGTATAAACCCTATAAGATATAAAATTAAATGAGGTTTTAACCTTTAAAAAAGATCTCAATTTCCTTATTAAAATAGTTTCATACAGAAAAATTCATTTCTAATGCAATTAACATGATGTTTGCACATGTGTTTCTAATCTCTATACATCTGATTATTACTAGTCACAGTCAGTTACTTTCTGAGCTCCTTGCCATATGAGCATGGATATAAAGTCATCAGGTAGCTTTCTATGGTAATGTTTTTCACATCTACTAATTATTAAGGAGCAAATTTTT